TTTAAATTAATTAAAATTAAGAGATTTCGAGTTGTTTGGATCATTTGTGTTATCAATCTTCGTTTGTTTATACGACCCACACACGGCAGAGGCATGCAGAGGTACCTCGCCGGCACGCCGGGTCAAAAGTGTGGCCACCGCCGGACGGAGAAAATGGGCGCCATTTTGAGATGGGCCAAGCGGCGCGCGTTTAAATGGGAGCCCAAAATACGGACTTTTGGACTCGTATTTCGTGGGTTAATCTTGCTCAAAAAAATCGGGGAAAATTCCTGTGAACTCTGTGCACTCTCTAGTTTCCAAAAATGCAAGAATTACGAATTGCTGAACAAGCTCCTTGGCACAACAAGCGATACATCGCAAACCACGCCACGCCACTGTTAATTTCACAAAACCGCCGGAGAAATGTAGTATTTGCCGTGATATGTCTGAGATTATCACCTAATGTCTCAATTTTTTTTTTTTCGAAATCGCAGGATATAAAGCACATCTTCGGGAACATGGAAGTGAAAAGCGGGCAATCCTACGGGAATTAACGGTTTCACTAGGAAAACAGCGCATTTTTCACGATACTTGGATGAATCACGCGTTATTTTCCCTTTTGAACAAGCGAAGACCAAGCGAGCAACTATTCGACCTCCGGAGTCGGTATGTGGTATCGTGCGAAATTGAAGGAAAGTCATAGCTCTCCGCTTTTTAATTACGGACGTTAAGAATTCTACAGGGCGTTAGAAAAGTCCCCCCCCCCCTCCATTTAATTTTTTACCCTATTGAGGTAGAGATTTGATACTTGAAGGATGTTTTCAGGACAAAGAAAGCTAGTTTTTGACCCCCTAAAATTTTCAGGGGGCTCCCCTTGGGGCTTAACGGACCCCAACTTTTTATCATCGATATTCAGGTATATAACGCAATATTCAGGTGACAATTGTGTGGTCTGTTAACGTTCTCAATCATCCGCTGGGAAATTTGCGTTTATATCACGATATGAGGTGGATTCGCGTAATCTTCATAGATTTTATAGAGGCGTATTTGCCGCTATATTCCGGAGATTATCGTGTACACACACACGCCACATTTCCACATTTTTTCGTGTGTCGCCACATTTCCTGCGAATTCGAACAAAAAATAAGTTTTTTGTTCGAATTCGCAGGAAATGTGGCGCATTTTCGGGGACATCGAGATAAAAAGCGAGCAATCGTCAAGCACTTGACGCATCCGCTTTAAAAATCGCGCATTTTCCGGTGAGATGAATTGCGCGTAATTTCTCACTTTTGAATAAGCGGAAACCAAGCGAGCAACTATACGCACTCCGGAGTAGGCATGTGGTATCATGCGCAATTGAAGGAAAATCATAGCTCGATATGCCAGGTATAATTTATTGATGATCAGAGGTAGACGGTATATTTTCAAGATGGAATTCTGCTGCACGAGCTTACCAGACGAGCTTGCTGCAGCTTGCTTACGAGCTTGCTGCAGACGTTACCAAACCCTTCATGAGATACCAATTATCACGGAAATCTGTGAATATTTTCCTCCAATTTTTCAGAGAAATTTATTGATGGTGGTTTTTGCCTTGAAAACAAAGGGCGGTATTAAACAATTGAAGTCCTAAAATTCTAGCTATACTTGAGAAAGAATATTCAGTTTCGTAATTTCATGATCAACATCAGATCTAAATGGGTCACTGAAGCATGAACGAATTGGACGTATTTCTGTCAAACGGACTATGTGCAATATCACGTGAGCCCTGTTATGCATATATTCTTATGGGTCTCATGGCTCACGCGTCTTAACGCACTCAGTCCCGTTTGGCAGAAATACGTCCAATATTGACTTGCAAGTACCTTTTTCCAAAGGTAAATGAAGCGTAGAATACGATGCACACATTCAAAATGCGAAAAAGTAACTCAGCAACCAAAAAATGCGTAGTTCAAAAAATGTAACTGTTTCATTTAAAAAACGCCCCGGTTTTTCGCCGAATCGAATGATGTCATCCGGCACCAATCAGAAGCGAGCGCGGGTTTCTACGGCTTTTGTCAAA